CCCTATCCTATAAAAAAAAACAGTTAACGTGACTGCGAAATCTCCTTTTGTAGGTAGTTTTATACCTTTGATATATTTTTCAGTAATTATTCTATTTTTTTAAAGCCCCGGAATAAAATTCGTATCGCAATTTGAACCAGCGTGTGATACAACATTTTTAGCGGTCACCGATCAAGACAATATAATAATAGTGTGTGTTCATAAACGCCTTACGCTTGTTGCGTCGAATGATAAACATTAAGGCCTTACTTTTACCCTTAGGAAGTTTCATTGCATGACAGAGGCCTATAGCTGATATCTTGATATATTGACTATAATATCAACAGATTAAAAACAAATAATGAACATGCAGTTTAACTGGTAGTGACAAGTCACTTCCAAGGACGAAGACGGAATACCTCACAGTCTGTAACATATTAACTCTCTATACCTAACAGGAACATAGCGGTGCTGGCACTGCCGCTTGTCGGGGGAAGCAGTTAAGAGTGTGATAACTAACCACCTGGTGTTAAAAAATTTGAATAATTTTAGAGAACGTTAAAATATATACTGCTTATAAATAATAGCCGAGCTGCTTATAAATAAAGATAGCCGTGGTAGCTCATATGGCTAACGCTCGCTGTAAATATAACAGAACGCGAGTAACTCGGGTTCGATCCCCGCTAGCACCAATGAAATAGTTAATTGCAATTTTAAATTTGAGGGGAGGCCTGTGCTCAGCAGTGGGACGTATATAGGCTGTAACTTTACTTTACTTTACTTTTATAAATAATAGCGTTATCGAAGTTAATAATGTGAAACAAATCATTCGCTATCTGAGTGCTTATCATTAACCACAGTAAGCGGGCTCCTTTATTTTGAAGAGTTAATGAACCACCTCGATGACATCGAAAAATGGCCGCATACTTAAATCGAATGCTTCCTGCTCTCACCGTAAAAGGAGCCATTCAATGCTTTTTGAAATGCTCTAACTGTGAACCGATCTGGGTTAACAGTAGATTACACAATTTGAGATAATTATTAGATGTGTGATTGTAACTGGTTGGTAATTTTTTATAAACTTATGACCGAATATTTGTTAGTGTAAGGTGCAATTAGTGGGTGTTATATATTTATATATTATATTTGATATATTTTTTATAGAATAAGTCTGATAAACGCGCACATAGTCCACCTCATAGTAAGTATGGTAAGTGTATGTTGTGGCCCATGGCTTATTCACATATATCCTGGATGTAAAAATCAATTTGCAGAATACATTGTCATCTAAGAATTAAGAGGGAACGCCTCGTTTTCAGTAAAAAGAGGCTGTGCCTCTACAATCACTATACTAAATACACTGACTGAATATAGAAACACATGCATTAAACCTCTATTTTAACGCTGGTATATGTGTGAGCTTGGTCCTTTTGGTCTAGAAGACCTATTCGTGCTACAATCATAATATATAATTGATAGAATCAGGCGTTACTTTGCGGAAATCCATTATAATAAAAAATAAAAATATACATTTCTTTGCAACTTTCCGCTAAACATATAAAATGATGTGTCTTACCTGGATTGAAGCGCACCTCCCGCCCTCCCTCAATTGCATACACTAACTCCGTCACCACTAGACCAAGCACCACTACTCTCAACACCACTATTCCAGGTAAGACACACCATCAACGATAATACGACACGTGTTTCGCCTCTACACGAGGCATCCTCAGGTAATATAGACTCTACGGCAGCTGACCGCTAAGTGAGCGGCGAGTTTTTTTTTTTTTTTTTTTGCGCCCGAAGCAATTAAAGGGCTACCCTATACGTAGGGAGGCGGAAAATGCATTACACATACCACGATAGCCGGTCTATCGTGGTTATGAGGGGCTCACTGTCCTACCGGGGACCCTAAGTGATACCCTCTAAAAACCGCCTTTGGGGACAGGCAACCGGCTGATTAAGCTCTATTGTGCCTTATCATGAGCGACCCTCTTTTGGGAAAAGAGGGCGCAAGCAGCTAAGTGCCGCTGAGGGAGTGCCTACGAGGGCAAATTAATGTTAGATATTACAATAATTTTATTTAATTAGAGTTGGCCTGAGCCGCCTGGAGACAGTTCAGGTCGTTTGAGAGTTTATTAGGCGGGTCCGAGAGAGAGTTTCTCGGCCTGCGGACACGATAGCGAGAGGGGGGTGGGGCTGCATAAGAAGCTGCCTCACGAATTAAATGGTTTGGGTGCGACTCTGAGGCTTTGAAGAAGTTCTCAGAGAGTTTTTTAAGAAATTGTTGAATTGTTGGGAGCTCTAAGTCCCGATGAAGGTCGGCATTGCGGACGTACCACGGTGCGTTCGCAGCTCGACGACAGAATAGGTTCTGAACTATTTGGAGTTCATTTAAAATGTTAGGGGGGAGCGGCGAGTCGAAACAGTTGCTATTTATACACGCTGACACAATCGCTCCCTACCAAAGTAGCGAGTGACCGCGTCGTGCGATAACAAACCTGTCAACAGTTATTATTATTGTTATGATTATTTTTAATACTATTATTATTATTGTTTTGAGTGACCGCGCCGTGCGATAACAAATCTGCTACTAATTATTATGTGTGGTGTATCTATATAGTTTTCTCATCTGGTTGGGATGTATAAATATATAATTATAAACGAAAATGAAAAAGATAAACATACAAAAATATCAATAAAATAAAATAAATATGAAAATACATAAATAAATAAAAGCCCAACCAGATGGAAGCCCTCGGCAGGGGAGACCAAACGGCCGAGGGTTAGGGGGAAAGGGAAAGAAACCGGCGGACGATGCGGGCGGTATCGAGGAGCACCGCCTTCTGCATTTGAGCCTGGAGCGGTCCGCCACGTAGTCCCAGCCGCCTCAGATGACCCGAGAGGCTGACTGGGATTAGCCCGTTTGCAGAGACGACTACAGGAATAATTTCGGTCGGCAGACCACCCCACATGTCGGTCACCTCGTGAGCCAGGTCCACATATTTTGTTAGCTTATCTGTTTCGGCTTTCACGAGGTTCTCGTCACACGGAATGGTAATGTCGACCAAAAATATCCTTGACTGTGCCCGGTCCATCAGCACAATATCAGGCTTATTCGCAAGAATAGTCCTGTCTGTGATGATGGCCCGGTCCCAATAGAGCCTGGCGCGATCATTTTCGAGCACGGCTTCCGGCAAGTACTTGTAATACGGCGACTTCCGATCCACGAAACCGTATTTCAGAGCGAGCTCCTGGTGTAGAATTCTGGCTACTAGGTTGTGCCTGTGCAAGTACTCAGAGTTAGAAAGCACCGAACAACCGGAGATGACATGCCTAAGTGACTCACCGGGATGGCGACAAGCTCGACAGATGTCGATGGTGCCATCCTTTAGGATGTATCTCCGATAGTTGTTGGTCTTAATAACCTGATCCTGTATTGCACAGACAAAACCCTCGGTTTCCCCCGAAGAGGTCACCAAAGCGTAGCTAGTGGAGAGAGGTTACTGTGTCTACGAAAGGCCCATGTAGAGACTTGTAGAACCTCCCGTGGAGCTCCTTCTCCTTCCATACGGTCTCCCGGTCGGAAATTGTCTGCACTGCCGGGTCTTGCCATTGCTCGTTGGCTAAGGATAGAGGGGTAAGTCCTTTATCACAAGAAATGACGTCCTTATAGAATGGATCATCCGATCTCGCCAGGAAGTAATTACGGAGGCTGCACACTTCGCGATTATGCATGGTGAGCGCGCTCAAGAAGCCACGTCCACCATGCTTTCGCGGCAAGTACAGCCTCATTACCGACGATCTCGGATGATGCATCCTGTGGGACGTCATGGTAGTGCGGACTTTTCTATCCAGGGCGTTAAGTTCAGTCTGAGTCCACCTGAGTATGCCAAAGGTATACATGAGGACAGGTATGACCCAGCCGTTATATGCTTGTGTCTTATTCACACCGGACAAAAAGGCTGTTAAGCACTTTGGTCAAGCGTGCATAAAACACGTCGCAAACTGACTGTTTCATACCAGCCTCATCGATACCAATGTTCTGTGACATACCCAGGTATCGGTATGTTTCAGCCTCGGAAAGGGTCCTTAAGTTGACGGGCATAGATAAGTCTATGCCCTCAGAGTTAGCAACCCTACCCCTCTCAACATGGAGGACCGCACACTTATCCGTCCCCAGCTCCATTCCAATGGAATTGCTAAATTCACAAGTGATGTTTAGCAGTTCCATAAGATGGGAGCGACTGGAGGCGAATAACTTGAGGTCATCCATATAGAAAAGGTGGGTCACTTTTGTCCCTCCTTTCCGTAGCTGAAATCCCCTCCCGGAGCCCTCCAGTAAGGTACTGAGAGGGTTCAGAGAGAGGCAGAACCATATTGGACTCAGACAATCGCCCTGGAAGATACCCCTTCTTATCCTTATGTGGTTCTCCGCAGCCATCATCCGCTCGCCCAGATGACAAAGGATCGTACTCCACTGCCCCATACACTGCTCGAGGAAGTCTCTAATTGTACAGTCTATCCTGTACAGTCCGAGGACTCTCTTTAGCCATGTATGGGGCACCGAGTCGAATGCCTTTCTGTAGTCTATCCAGGCGGCGGAGAAGTTCCGACGGTTGCGTTTCACCACTTTGCCAATGACCGCGTCAATGAGGAGTGGTTCCTTGGTTCCACGACCGCCACCCCGACATCCATTTTGAGCGCGCGACATCACCTGATTTGAGTCCAGGTGACGAGTGATTCTCGCGCTCAAAATGGATGTTAGTGTCTTATATATGGTCGGTAGACATGTGATGGGGCGGTATTTGCTCGGGTCTGTGATACTCTGGCCTTTAGGAACCAAATGGGTGATCCCAGTAGTGAAGAGGCTCGGGAGCGACTTCTGGTTGAGAACCTCTTGAAACTGTCGGGCGAGCACAGTGTGACACACCACGAACCCCTTCAGCCAGTAGTGATGCAGCCCGTCGAGTTCCGGACTTTTCCAGTTCGGGGCCCTACGGACCGCCTCAGCTACGTCATCCGGCGTTATGGTGACGGGGTCCATGGGCGTAATACCCGCACACTGACTCGCCACAACTTCCGTCCAAGGGCCCTCGTTGTGGTTTACGGGCTCTGACCACAGGCTGCGCCAGAATGCGACCGTGTCGGCCTGATTCGGTACTGGGCCCGTTCCACTTACCATTGGTCGCTCCAATGATTTATAGAGCCTCTTCTGATCACTCTGGAAGAGACGATTCTGGTTGAACCGTGTCGACCTCTCGGTATATCGCCGAATTCGCTTTCCCCAAGCAGCGATTCTCTGCTTCAGGTCGTCTATGCGCTCCGTCAGTTTTTGCATTATATCCGGCTGGGACAAACTAACATTTGTCCCAGCAAACGCCATCCTGACGGTGCGCACAATCCTTGGCCTGGTATTGCCTGACCTGAAGCATATCAGTCTGCCGATGAGGGCCCTAGCCTTTGCGATACGTTCTTCAATTCTTGTTCTCCAGGCTGGGATAGCACTACTTTGTCCAGTAGTGCGTCCAGCCGTGGAAAGTTTGGCGCCTATAATACGGCAGACTGCCAGTGCGGCGCCAAAGAGAATTGAGTCCGTCTCGCAAAGGTCCCGGCTGGCTTCCAAATAGGTCACCAGCATTGGGTTCAGAGCCCTCACGACAGCCCGATTCCGCTTGCTTAGGGCTATGCGGGGAAGTCGCGGTCGATTTTCGAGAGGCGTACTGCGCGTTTCCATAATCGCCTCTTCCAATGTACTCCTCATTTGCTCTATTTCTAGTTCCTGGGTGAATGTTCCATCATCATTTGAATCAGCAACCACTGGGGTACTCTCGGCGGCATCCACGTGTGCGGGTTGTTCTGCAACTTGTGGCACCGCACCCTCAGTCGTAGCGTTTTCATTTGATGAGGGAACAGCCTCACGTCGTAGCCGTTCGAGTTCGGCGCCATCAAATATATTTGAGCGTAAGATATACCGAACTCGGTCTGCCAGGTTTTGCTCGGTGACAGTAATAGATGGCTCCAGCTCAGTAAAAAGACGATGCATCCTAGCCCGATACGCGAAACCTCCAATTTCTCCCCCCTTTCGCCCTAAAATACGCCCGCAATGCGTTTGAATTCATATTGATGGTCCATCGCATGCGGCGTACTCCACCAGTGGCGGGTGCCGATTGCTGGGCCTGCGAAGACCCTGCCGACACCAAGCAAGCTGGTGGGGATGATGGATGCGAGGGGCTGCTGGGTGGTCGTGCAGCACCTCGCGCTCGGCTGGCGGTTCGCATGCTTTCGCGTCCAGCGCCAGCTCCAGACGCACCCTGACGACCTCCAGGCAGCGGCCCTTTGCGCAATCTTCTATGTTCCATCATCCATACAGGGCGTCATTTAACGGGAGACGCCCAGACCCGGCGCCGTTTCATGGTGAGGCCATATGCACAAGCGGGCCCTTGCACCATCAATTTTTGCCGAGGCACGGCCCTCACACCTCTTGGCAAGGTGCTGACTGACTGCGCGGACGTAGCGGTTTTGTCACATAACCGTCACGTCAACGGGCGATGGGGTCGTCACTTCCCTACGCCATATAATTATTATTATTGTTATGATTAATATTTTAAATACTATCATTATTATTGTTTTATTGATATTATTATAATTATTTATTATTATTAATCTTAAAATTATTATTAAAGATTGGCCTTAAAGATGTTTAACAAAGGTGAATTAGAAACATTTGTTTGTTCATTCAGCAGTGTATAATTACCATTATTACTTTTTAAAATCTCCAACTGCTCCAGCACACACAGTCGCAGCCCCTTATTACAGGTATGTAAGACTTCAAAGGAATGGTCGCTAGCTAGGTTGTGTCCAGTGTCCAAGAGATGTTTAGCAAAATGGGATTTATCAGGATTGTAATTTCTGTACGCGGCCATATGTTCTTTATAGCGCGTCCCGAAATTGCGACCAGTCTGACCCACGTAAACGGCGTGGCATTCGTCACAAACAAGTTTATAAACACCCGATTTTTGACTAATATTTAACTTATCTTTATTATTACAAATATTCCTAAGCGAATTGTTTGTTTTGAATGCCACGTTAACGCCGTTTTTCTTAAGACTATTAGATATTTTTTCCGATATGGGGCCTAAGTAGGTCAAACTACCCACATACCGCCGGACACTTTGAGATCAAACCGCGTACAAAGAATTGCGAACAACATGCTTTTGTTCCTTTTTAATAAGATTATCAACGAGACTTTTTGAAAAGCCGTTAGAGACCGCAATTTGATAAATTATATTAAGTTCTTTTAAATAATTTTCTTTATTTAATGGAACAGTGGACAGACGGTTAATGTAACAATAAAAAGCGGCTAATTTATGTTGCCATGGATGACACGATGATGCGGGGATGACCGTGTCGGTATGAGTTGGCTTTCGATAAATTTGAAAAACATGTAACGACTCTTTTCTTGTTATTGTTAAATCAAGGAAATTAAGGGAGCCATCTTGTTCCAATTCAAGCTTAAATTTAATTTTTTCGTGGACTCTATTTATTTTATTAAGGAAAACATCCAGTTGTCTCCTTGTGCCTGTCCAGCAAATAATTATGTCGTCTACATATCGATAATAGTATAAGATATTTTGGTTAACAACTATATGTTGTTTTTCGAAATCATCCATGAAAATGTCCGCCATAAGTGGACTTAGAGGGGACCCCATAGCTAACCCTTCTTTTTGTAGATAGAAACGGTTATTAAACCGGAAATAATTTTGTTTCATACAGAGAGAGGTTAAATTAAGAAGATATATATAAGTGACCATTTGACGCTGGTTTTCTGTGAGAGTATGGTTCTACCCCGCCGAAACGACCCATTCACGCTACAACCATAACACAGCTGCAGCGTTGAGCTACTATCTAGTATTTCTATAGTAAACTCAACAATGAACTTCCCTCGAAACGGAAAAATGCATCCACAAATGTAATCGAGATTTAGGTTATAATACATATTTTCATCGAAAAAGCTTTTGAACATTTATAACAACTTGCCTAATAACTCGCCGAAGTGTTCATGGACGAGTACGACGCGTTCACATACTCGATTTTTTAAACAAAGATGATTTACGTCTCGTTTCTAGGACATTGTCCCTACTTAATTTTATAGAATCACTAATATTTGTCAATGAATTGAAATATTTTGTCAAAGAATGGTAAATATTACAGAAAATTATTACGGTAGATTGACTAAGTAAATTGTAATGATTGTTCACGGGTCAACCGAACAACGACCAGTATGTAAACACGGCTACGAATTCACACGAACACTCCTTTGACTTGTATTAATAAACCGACATCGAGTGGTGAACAAGCGAACATTCTGGTCGAGTAGGGAGCGTACCCAGAAAATTCGTTTGCATGTTCGTACTTGTGCCTATTCGTCTGTGCTCTGCAAGTATCTAGACGTTCCACTATAATTTTTATAACTTTCAAGACTTGTATACATGTTGAACCGTGGCATGTGTCAATTGTGTGTTTCTATTGTTTGACGTGGGTCGTATACGAGTATCGATAATAGCGGTTACTTTTTTAACGACCTGTAACAAACAGTTCATATTTTTAAACTGTGACCTGTAATTGCCATTGGAGGCGCGAATAAGTTTCTTTCTTATTATTTTTATTAATACTTTTTTATTATTTAAAATAACTGTAATAACATAAGGAAGAAACGTTTTATGCGAATTTTAGATGATCGTAGAAACTACTTGCAAACTAAATTACCTTTATGGGATATGAATATAAAGATAAAGTAGCTTTCATTATTCATATTTTTAAGTTTATTAACATAACATTTTAATATAAAATAATTGTTACATAATAAAAAAAATTGTACAAGTAATTGTGTACACACGTACGAAGTGGTACTTCTTAATGGCATATCATTCTTCTTTTGTTTTATATTTCACATAAGTAGGTTAAATAATAGTATACTCATAAAGCCCCAGCGGTGAAACTTTACAAGAAAATGTGACGTTTTTGATTTTCAATACCGTACTAAACTTATCCACTACGTCGATAAAGAAGTGAAACTTGTTTACGACATATCACTCTTCTTTTATTTTATATTTCACATAAGTAGGTTACGTAATAGTATACTCATGCAGCACAAGGGTGAAACGTTTCAAGAAACCGTGACGTTTTTTATATTTTTAATACCGTACTAAATTACATTATAATTATCATATAGTGCGGTATAGTGCCAAGAAAGCTGGCTGCGTTTCCTCCAATGGCTATATTTAGCCTTTGAGCGAGAAAAAACCAGCCCTTTAACTACCGGCAGTGACGACTAGACGCGAGTACACTTTCTTTAGGATCTTCACTGCATTTGGACCCCACGAATTAGTAATATCTATATCAGGTTTAAATAACAATTTTTTCAGTTTTAAAGTTCTGAAGACTATGCAGTACGACAATATTTGAACTAACGATCAGATCACTAGAAATTAACGATTGAATCATCATTCTATTATCAATAATCAGATTTTTTTTAAACTCCTCCACAGTCTATTAGATTACTGGCAATGCGCTTTAAAACAAAATTTTCATTGCAAACTCGAGCATTTTCACTGTCTTTGTAGAAGATGCGGTAAGGTATGTAGCAAATGTAATTTTGTTAGTAGACGCTTTCGTACGAGCTTTTAGCGCATTGCATTATCCAATTGTTTCCTAATTAAAGTTAATTCTGCTGAGTTCTATTTCTCCTTGTCTGTAGTTGGTATAAATATAGTTACTTTTTTATACGAGAGGGAGCAAACTAGTATACGGTTCATCTAATGGTGAACCGTATAGTAACCGGTGGTAATCACTTTACCGCCGCCAGTGAACAACTACAACAGTAGATGCGTTGCCAGCCTTTTAAAAAGGAGTAGGCTCTCTACTTGAAGGTTTCTAAGTCATATTGTATCAGTATATAGGATCGAATGTGTAAGAAACTCCGGTTCAATCCCCCGCTGAACAAAAATCTTAATTGCAATTGATAGTGCTATTTTGCCTCATGTTTGGCGGAGAAGAAACCTGACGAAACTTGCATGTCAGAGAAATGAAACAAATATTTCGAAGACATGTAAGGTCTACCAACACGCATTAGGGTGCGTTTCGTACAGAGATATGTGAGCTAGTTAAGCAGTGCCCAAAACAAAATTCGCTAATATTATTAGTTTATTTTTCTAGTCTCGTTGAGTGCACGCAAGAAAAAGGGCATAGCAGGGCTAGGAATTTGTAAATACAAAAAAAAACGAGAGATGTGTGCGAATTACGCAAGTGCGATAGGCGTACAAAGAATGTGTGTGAGTTTATAGAGATAGTACACAATTTGCAATGTATTGCAAAACTATTCAATAGATCTCCTAGAATTCTCCATTAGTGAAAAAAGTCTGCTACGCATCCTCACACTCCACACACGGCTTAAATTCCTCGTCCAGCTTTGGTGAAGAGTCACATCGTATCACAGTTCCACTACACGCCTTCGCATCGGTCAGTTTCCTTGCACTTCTAGCGCGGCGGACTCTATATATAGTCTACGATTACTATTCTTTCCTTTTAAGTTAATAAAATAAGTAACTTTATGACTTATACAAAGCGGTGTTTATATGAGGGGTTTTCGCTTTAGCTATTATCGTCTCATAAGTAAAGGAGCCCTCTGCCCAATAATGTACTAGGCAACATACTGTCCTGCTTCTTAAGTATAATTTTCCTTTCATTTCTAAGAGCCTATATTATGTGGTTCTTTTAGTTGATAATCAGTGTTGTAACGTAATGCGGGCAATTTCAAAATATGCAACATCTATTTTTTTAAATATTTCATAAAAACATACATTGCCATCAAAAATTAGATCGTGAATATTATACACTTGTTTCATTTCACGGTAACACTTGCAGTGCTGCCGAACTGATGACTGTAAGAAGTTTAACAATTGTTTGAATTTCTGAGGTTTAGCAATTTTGCATGTGTTTGACGTTAAAAAATGATGAATATTATTTTATTTTCATTTCTAATAT